CTTCAGTATTTGGAGAGAGAGCTGCATGAATGCTCTGAATGCTGAGGCCAGGCCAGCATCCCTGCCCAAATGGCCCTAAAGGACCCCTTTCAGTTCTCCATCATTCTTCACATTGTGGACAGGGTAGCCTCAAGGATTTGCCATGTCCCCTTAATCCTGGACTTCTCCACACTGACTCAGCCAGGAGCCCACTCCTCCCACAGAGAGACAGCCTTTCAGAAGTGGGGTTTTACAAGAGCAAAGCAGTGTGAGCGATGGGAACTCCCCCAGGGGAAACACGCTGCTTTCCCAAAGAACAAGGCTGGCTCTTCCATCACATAAGCACTGTGTCCAGCAGGTCCACTCGGTGTGGACTGTGGACACCGTGAAGGACAGCATCCCTCTGGAAGCCAGGGGTGGGCACACTTTTTTTGCAAAGGGCCAGAAGATAAGTATTTAGGCTTCGTGAGCCAGCAACTATGCAACTCTGCTTCTGTAGCATGGAAACAACCATAGGCCATGCACAAACAAAACTGTAGCTGTGGGCACTGACATTTGAATTTCATATCATTTTCACATATCATGACATGTTCATCTTCTTTTGATTTTTTTCCCCAACCATTTAAAAATATAAAACCATATTAGCTAGCAGGCTGTACAGAAGCAGGTGGAGGGCCAGATCTGGTGTACAGGCCATCATTTGCTGAGCCCTGCTCTAAGTACAGACCCTTCAGGCCAGTGCTGTTCAACAGGAGGGTCTTTGAACACAAAGTTAGAGGGACAGAGCATCATCCAGGCATTCTCCTCGATTGACAAATGCGGGAAATGTAGGCCCAGGGGGTAGAGGACATGCTGCAGGGCACAGAGCTGGGAGCAGCCGGGCTGGGGCCAGGACTGGACGGGCATTGCCTGGACACCCCTGTGTAGCTCAGCACCTGCCAGGAGCTGGGGATGAAGTGATGAAGACAGTGTACCATAATCCACATCCCACATCTCTCCAGCTCTAGCTCCCGAAGCCCTCCCCTGCCTCCCCTCCACCCTTCCCCACGGAGAAGATGGTTTCCCGGTCTGGCATCTGCTGCTATGGCCAAATAATTAAAATTTTTTTCCCTGTGGCCACTCCTGGGTGGACCAAGGGGATAACAAATAAAGATGGGGTGAGGGTCTAGAGAGGGAGGCAGTGAAATATTTGTGGTCTCTCACAAACAATGGTCTTCCTTTCTCCAAAGCATTCTCCCAGGCAAGAGGCCTCCAAAGCCATGATGGATAACACACATCCCAGCTCAGAGAGGAGGTGCCTGCCGGCCAGCTAAGCCCCAACCGTCACACTCTATGTTTGATTTACAGGGAAAAAGGGAAAGATGAGGTTAGCCTTTCTTTTGAGACCTTAGAGTGATTGCTGGGAATAGGGCCTCAGTGGTTCTGAATTGCTTCTCAGAATTAGTTTCCTTTTCTCCATTGCTTTTTTGTAATTGGATAGAAAACAGATAAAGGCCAGATGGAGTTATTTCATTTTACTTAAATCATTTTAATTTTAATTACTTACAAATTAAGTAAGTTTAGTTACTTAAACTAAACTTTTGGAGGTGTCTTACAATAAAATATACAGTCAAAAACATTATTGAGAAGGATTCAAATGACACACATCATGTAATGAAAAGGGTATATGCAGAAATTAACACAACACTGTAAAGTAACTATACTTAAGTAAAATAAAATTTTTTTTAAAAGAGGGTATAGATGTTGAAAGGAGAAGGCAAAAAAGAATAACAGTTATACAAAAACGTATTCAGAAGATACACAAAATGTTCTTTTCCCCCTCTTTAAAAAAAGAAAGAAATCTGAGGGCATGTGGTTACATCATGTTTCTCTGAATGCATTTTTGCAGGGAGCTTAAAGTTTCGTATTCAGGCAAAGAGCTTTCTTCTTGTATCCTGACGTAGATACAGGCTAGGGAATAGGGGCACCAGAAATGAGTGATTGGCATGACCCTTAGATTCTCCTCGTGATTATCAGTTGCCTGAGGAAGTACATAGCATTCCGTTCAGGATTAAGAAAGTTGGCTGGATCTGAAAGATAGATAGTGTGTGTCGTTGATTGGAAGGAAATCCTCTTGTGTTAGCAAAGCTGACAGTTTCCTGGAGAATTCTCTGACGACTAATTTTCTGGTATAACTGTCATTAGTCTGACCATCCTGCAGGAAAGCCACTGACCAGGTTGATGGTGATAGTGATCCCCAGAAAAAGGTAGAGATAGTGGGGGAGAATGGGGTCAGGGATATGGGTAAAATTCTGTTTCCTTATTCTGGCAACATCCTTCCTGAAGAAAAGCACAAGTCTTTCCATATAAAGATATTTTTTCTGTGTCTTTTCAAAGCTAATATTCAACAAGCTGCGTCATTGTTTAAAGACTCCACTGCAAATGCTGATGGGAGAAAGGCAGAGATATTAGTCTTGGACCTGGTTTCAAAGTTTCATCAGAGTTTTCTTAACAGAGATGTAATAATTTGTTGACCATTGATAGTTGGCTGTTTGGGTTTTTTTTGCATCATCAGTCATTTCCCTCACCTGAAAAATGATGAAAAATAATACAGATGTTACACAAGAACATTTGCAGAGAGTCAGATGTTAAGACATTTGTTAAAAATAAATAAGGTAATATAAGCTCTCCCATCCATCTGGTTTTGATGGGTGAAATCATGCAAAACAAAATCATCATCTTCTTTTCTTCCCCCCACTTGTGCTTTAATTGGAATTTCCCAGACAGGTCAATAGGTTTCTCTTCAATTCTGTGCTCTCACGTTTCACTTCAAATTAGCTATTTCCATCATGGTTGGAAATTCCTTCCTTTTCTTGTGCCTTAGGGTTGTTGTTATGGGTGAATTGTGTTCTTTCTGAATTAAGAGTTGCCAACAACTGCTCATCCACTCAACCATTTTTTGTGTCTGTTCTCTGAAGCAGATCTCACTATTGCAAAAAACGAAAACATGCTTTTCTAGGGAAGAGCTTGCTGGAGCTAGATCCTTATACGTTCTGTCAAGTGTGAAGACCCGGTGACTTGTCCAACCTGTCTCCTGGCTCTGCCCTTCTGACCTCAGCTTCAGAGATGCCCTGAATCCCTGAATTCTCTCTTTAGTCCCCAGGCCACCAAGCAGTGTTTCATTTCTTCCTCTCTCCTGCTCCTACCCATCTTTTTTTTTTTTTTAAATAATGTCTCATATACATTATTGATACTATGTATAAAATAGACAATTGATGGGAACCTACTGTATAGCACAGGGAACTCTACCTAATGCACTGTGGTAACCTAAATGGGAGGGAAGTCCAAAAGGGAGGGGTCATCTGTATGTGTATGGCTGATTCATTTTGTTGTGCAGCGGAGGCTAAGACAACATTGTAAAGCAACCGTACTCCAATAAAAATTAATTTTAAAAAATAACATCTTTGAGACACATACCTTAGAGTTTACCTGTTTAAAGTGCGCAATGCAATGACTTTTTCCACAATTCTGTTTATACAGAATTGTGCAGCTGTCACCATAATCTAATTTTAGAACATTTTCATCACCCAAAAAGAAACTCCATACCCATTAGCAGTCATTCCCTGTATTAGTCTCCTATTGCTGCTGTAACAAATTACTGTGAACTTTATGCCAAATTTATTATCTTACAGTTCTGGAGGACAGAAGTCTGAAAAGGTTTCATTGGGCTAAAAGCAAGGTGTCAGCAGGGCTGCGTTCCTTTCTGGAGGTTCTAGGGAAGAATCTGTTTTCTTACCTTTTCCAGCTTCTAGAGGCTGCTGCATTCTTTGGCTCATGGCCCCTTTCATCTTCAAAGCCAACAATGGCCAGTTGGATCTCTTTCACAATACATCTCCCTGATTCTGACTCTGTCTCCCACTTCCCTATATAAGGACGCTTGCCATTACATTGCACCCACCTGGATAATCCAAGATCATCTCTCGATTTTAAAGTCAGCTGACTAGCAACCTGAAATCCCCCTTGCCATGTAATATAGTCAGTTTCCACGGATTAGGACATGGACATCTTTGGGAAGCCATTCTTCTGCCTGCCACACTTCTCATTCCCCCTTCCCCCCAGCCCTAGGCAACCACTAATCTGCTTTCTATCTCTACACATCTACCCATCTCTTTTACTCTCCTTCATCTTCCGTTTCTTCCTTCAGTTTCATGTTCAGCCTTTGCTCCATCTCCTTTCCTGTATCGGTCTTTTTGTGGCCGCCATCTTTTCTCTCATTTCTCAGGAGATAATGGGCTGCTGGAAACAGAAAATAAGGAGGACTGTGGTGGGAATGAGAGGGGTAAAGTTTACAGGACCAAATGCTGGGACAGAAAAGAGGTGCACAGGTGTCATCAAACAGTATTAGCAAGTGATAAGCTGTAAGTTATAGAGAAACCAAACCAGCTAGATAGTATAGTACAACAGCCCTTTCTGTAAGTTAGGTCATTTGGTTTGGGGACAACCCACTTTTTCTTTGAGGGTCTCAGTTACCTCAAACTGTAAAAGGAAAGGCATTGGACCAGATAAGTGGTTCTCAAAGTATGTTTCCTGGGCCAGCAACATCAGCATCTCCTGGGAACTCATTAGAAATACAAATCCTTTAGCCTCCACCCACCCCCTCCCAACCAGACCTACAACTGCAGAAACTCTGGACATGACCTTGCCCCAGTCTATGTTTTGACAAGCCCATCTGATTGTTCTGATATGCGTTAAAGTTTCAGAAATACTAGTCTAGATTATTCCTGAATCCTCACCAAGTGTAATAGTCTATGAGTAAATTTCCAGGTGTGTAAAAAGAAATATAATTTTTAGCTGGACGAATACAAGAAAATGCTAAAGGGAAAGAAGGTAATTTGAAGGTTTGGGGATGTTAAATGCATATTTGAAAAATTTCTATTTCATTGAAATCTCTCATTTGATATTTCACTTCACTTCAAGTCATGAGCTTCTGTATCCTTCTGTATCTCTGTGTATCATTTCAAAGGATTTTAGAGTATATATTGCAGGACGTGAAATGAAGATCTCTATTTCTATTAAAACTTGCCATGTGTGTCTCATACCCACAGGTCTATAACACTGGGCCAAGCACCCTTCCTGGGTCATCTGTCAGCATCTCTTTCCCCAGTCGTCTGTCACCTGGAGGAGCTGAGATGTTTCATGTGCAGGAGATGGTGGTGAGTTCTCATTTGTTTTCACACTTGCTTTCAGGCTCAAGCCAGCCCATTCACATTTTGTATTCCACCCAAGAGCCCAGAAAGGTTAACTCATTCTACCTTTGGAAACATACCTGGAGAAGCCAGGAGACCTGCAACACCTGGATTTCTACATTGAGACAGCTTGGTTCATGCCATGAGAAGACCTCTTTGGGGATGGGCAAGCGTCAGTTATGAACCTGACTTCTGGGATGGACTTTACTGGCTCTGGGAACCGCCAGCAACTGTCTGTAGTCTTGTGCGTATCTGAATGTGTTTTTCTAAGGGGAAGATCCCCAGCACTCATAAAGATTCTCATAGGGCCACTGATGCCTGGAGGGTGAAGGATTCGTTCATAAGACAGAAGTATAGGTTGAAACTCAAGGTCATGTGCAGAATATGCCATTCAACGTGATCCTAAGTCAGCTGTAGATGATTTTCTCTCAACTAGGATATGATCGTTCCGCCTACCTCCTTGGCTTCTAGGACATCACATTCCCTTGGCTTCTCCTTTGTCACTGGTTTTCTCCTCATCTCCCCAACTTCTACAGGGCCCAGAGTCTCCTTTTTACCATCCTTAATCTTAGAAATCTCCCCCAGACTCATGGCTTTATATTCAGTCTGTGCTGATGACACCAGATGTTTCTCTCTCTAGCCCAGATCTCTCCCATGAATCCCAGACTTTGACAGTTAACTACCTTCAGGCCATCTCTCCCTGGATGCCTAACAGGAATCTCAGTCTTCTGCACAGCTGAACTCTCAACAGTATCCCTTCAAACCTGCTTCCCCCCATGACCTTCTGCATCTCAGCAAACAGCTACTAAGTCCTTCCAATTGCTTGAGTCACCCTTGACGCCTTTTCCCCACAGTTCACATCTGATCTGTCAGAAAATCTGATGTCTCTGCCCTCTCAACAAATCAGAATATTACCGCATTTGACCCTTCTACTGCCAGCACCCTGGCCCAAGGCACTGTCATCTGTCATCTGGGTTATTGCAGTGGCCCCCTCACTCGGGTCCCTGCTCCTGCCTTGGCATCCCTGCCATCTGTTCTTGCCGCAGTGGCAGAGCCAGCCTTCCAAAATCTAAGTCAGGTCATGTCATCCTCTGCTCAAAACCCTCCAGTGGCTCACTTACCCCACAGATTCTTCCAGCACCTCAGCCAGCCTCACAGCCTGTCTCTTGCCCCTCTCTGACCTCTCCTCCTCCTCCTCCTCTTCGCCACTCTCTCTACTGCAGTCATCCTGCCTCCTTGCTGGCCCTAGAGCATGGCAGATACTCTCCCACCTCCTGAATTTTGCACTGGATCTTCCCTCTACCCAGCACGCCCTCCCCCAGAGAGCCACGTGACCTCCGCCCTCACATCCTCCCAGTGCTTACTCAGATATCACCTCCTCAGAGAGGCCCTCCCTGAACAGCCTTTGTCCCAGCACCCCTCATCCCCTTTTCCTGCTTGTGTTTCACCATCACCCTCATCACCAGCTGACATACCATGTATTTCCCTATTTGACCAGATTATCTGCCTCCTCCTGGCCCCATACAGTATAAGGATGGGGATTTCTGTCTGCTCACTACTGTATTTCCAGGGCCTCCTATATGCAATGCTTGGCATATATTATATGCTCAATCAATATTTGATATTGGACTGAAAGAAAAAACCCACAGTATAAAACAAAAGAAAGAGTCGTTTACTCTTTCTACATGAATTCAGGAAAAGTTTCGTGCTGATATAAATCTCCTCAGTGTGCCTGAGAGTCTGGAGTGGCTGGGCGTGAGGGTGACCCCTCCTGGGAGGGAGGGTGCTTGATGGTTGAGAGTCACTACATAAGGAGAGGGAGTGTGGTCCACGTTGAGGGCACCACTGACTTGTTCCTTTTGCACGGGCACGTGAGGGACAGCTAGCCAGACAAAGGGACAGCCTCTCCATGGATAGCTTGAAAATCAGGGCAGCAAGACCCATGGCATGTGACACATCTGAGCCCACAGGAGGCTCAGAAAGCATCATGTGATGGCGATGATGGTCTCCTGCATTGCTATCTTCTTGGGTCACGTGGGCTGAAACCCTGGACCATGGGAAATGTTGAACGCAGAATATGTGCCCCTCCTGGCTTGCCTGCTTGGCCGTCCCCACTGCTCACGGTATTCCATTCCTGCTCCACAAAGTGTCCGTGCCTGGGCGCTCTGCTGAAACAGCGGTAGAAAAGCCCCTGGTGTTCTGCACCTACAGCTACCACGGTTTGAGCTTAGCGTGAGGTTCCTGCCACCCACATGCTCCCATCTGCCTCCTTACATAATGTTCATCTCACCAGCCACTCCACCTTGTCCCCACAGCTAGGGATGCTTTCCTCACAGAGCATGTTCTATGAGCCGTTCACATAAACATCTATAATGTTGTAGAGAAAAATGCTCCCCCATGGACAAAATTATTTATTGAACAAAACAGGAAATGTAAGTCACTCAGATTCTGGAAGTATCTCAGCACGAAGTCCACCCCCTTTTCTCTTTACTGATCATCCGACCGAGCAGGAGCCACTCGAAAGGACTTTGGGACGTGTTTATAAATAGCTGGCTTGGCGGGAAGGCATGAGAAATGGTTTTTCTGACGATATGCAGAACTGCCTGACTGATCATCCAGCTGAGTGGACTCTTGAAAACCCAAGTGCTGTGAGCTGCCTGCATTCCGTTCTCTGAGTTCTCAGAAGCAGACCCTTTGGATTTTCAATACGGTACTGAGAATTTTCAAAAGTATGTAACAATTCTCAAGGACAGCCAAGCCTTTGCTTGGATACTCCAGCCCGTGTTGAGGCCCTTGGCGTTTGTGTGGTATGGAAAATCAAACTCACTGGCAAATTCTCACTAAGCAAGTAGTGAAGCACTGTGTTCTCATGGACAGTCATCACTGGAGACCAGAATGATGATGAGACTAGAAATGTAAAAGCCAGTGCATGATGGATGCAGTGATGAGGCAAGAGTCCCAGGTACTGTTTCAGAGGCTGGTGGGCAGCACACCCTCTACCCTAAAACCCACAGGGCTGAGAGCAAGGGCGTCCTGCAGCTCAGCCAGGTTCCCAGCCTCGGCCCCTCCCTTGCTCAGCAGCGCCCGAGAATGCCTACTGGGGCAGGTCATACAGCTCGTGACGTCCTCCACTCTGGCCTTTTGGGACTTTGAATAGAGTGGGGCTCTTGTTCTGGGTATTTAGGTGGTTTGGTGCAAGTCAGACTCACTCCTATTAGGAGAAACCAGTACTCCTTCCTTGTATTACACTAGGAGGGGCCCCTAAGGCCTGGTGGCATCCCCCCATACCTCAGCCACCACCATCCCCTAGTCTTGGATAGGCCCCTGGGCAGCCAGGAGCCAGCTACCTCCTCAGCCAGCTGAAGCCCAGGAGCAGAGAGCAGACATTGAGAGAGGACGTATCTGCCATCCCTCCCCACACACCACGGGACCCTCAGATTGTTTCTCTCCCTTCAACAGTGCCCGTGGTATCCATCATCTGTATAGATTGCTGAGGGTGGGCATACTGGCTGACCCCACGGGTCTGAGCTATCACCCCACCTAAGGCCCCGACTCTGCAACACAGTTTTCTAACTGTTGGTTCAGAATTCATTCAGAAGTATCAGGGGCTGCAGCCAGGGTCCCTGGACAGGACAGGCCTGCCTCTACATTTCACCAGAGAGTCTTTTGTTCTCCCGAAGTGTTTTTTGAGGTCAAGCTGCCTGTGAGTGGAGAGTGTCTTTGCTTACGTGGGAGAGATTAGTATAGGAAGCCTAGTGCAGTGAGACTCCTTTCTATGTCCACCCAGCTGAGGTTCCTGATCTCCTTCCCTTAGAGCAAGTGTTCCGAGCCCCACCACCCTGCTTGTGTTTTATTTAGAAACAGCCTTGGTGGTGGCCTGAGGAACGACCTGCAGTTTCCATTGCCTGCCACCCACTGGGGTTGTGCCGAGTCCTGTGGGGACGCTTGACTCCCCACAGCACAGCCAAAGCATGGGCAGGCCACCACGACCCTAGAGACCATCAGGAGGCCTAGTAGGGAGGACCATGAAAATAACAGAGAGAGTGAGAGAGGGGAAGAATGACAGACTTCTCCGGCCCATCTAAAATAAGAATCATCACAGGGACTTCCCTGGCAGGCCAGTGGTTAAGACTCCGCACTTCCACTGCAGGGGGCCCGAGTTCGATCCCTAGTTGGGGAACTAAGATCCCACATGCCGCGCAGTGTGGCCGAAAAATAAATAAATAAATAAAATAAAGATGAATAACTAAGTTATAGCAGAGTAGACATTTCCTCAAGAGGTACAGTGCATGTTGATAGTTGAAGTGATAAAGATAAATAAATAAAATAAAAATCATCACAAGTGCTAGATCATCCTTGATTTATTCTGCAGACACTGGCAGAGAAAGCACCAATGACGTTCCAGGCTCTACTAAGAGGAATAAATCATGCAACACTGGCAGAAATTCAGTCTAGCAGGAGGCAGATCTGTGAAATGTAATTGCAGTGCCATGTACCAAATGCAGTCATGGAGGCACACCCAGACCCAGGGATGTACAGAGGTATGGACCCCACCCTGGGGAGGGGACAGCAAATGCTTCACAAAGCAGGCTTTTGGAGTCAGGGCTTAGGGGATGTGTAGATGTTCACCAGGAGAACACGTGATGAGATCATTCCAGACAGAGGGAGTGGTCAGCATGTGTAGGAGTACAGTGGAGGCCCTACCTGGTTCTCCATTCTCTCTGCCCACCTCTTATAGGTGACTGTTCTCTGCGCCTTCTGCAGGGCGTACAGCAAATGGATTTCTTGGCAGTGTGACAGGGAGTGCTAAACCACTGTCATTTCCCGTGACAGTTGATGAGGTTCTGGGGTGCATCATTCCTTCTGAGGTGTATCATCTGTGTTTGCTCATGGACCCGCACCTTCATTTCTCTTGACTTAGGATTAGGGAAGGCCAGGCGCCCTGCTCCCCAAGGCTAAGCACACGT